TATTGCTACTCTTAATACACTTCTTTTAACAATTTAAGTACATCACTTGGCCCAATACATTATGATTGCATTTTTTTAAACATCAATGTGTTGTTTTTTTTAAATTCTGTTGTAAAAACTAAATTACATTTTTGTCGGCGCAAAAAACTTAACACTGACATCCTTTCTGTAACACTGACCCCCCTTTTCGTAACACTGACCACCTTAAGACTAACCATCTTTCTGTAACACTAACCACCTTTCTGTAACATTGACCACGTTTCTGTAACACTGACCACCTTTCTGTAACAGTGACCACTTTCTGTAACACTGATTCATTTTTCAGACATTAACATTTGACGATGCAAAATAAATATTCATATCGTAATTCCATGCTAAAAATCTCAATGTGTTGTTTCAAAACTCTCAACAGAGAAGAAGCCTATTTCATCAACTCGACGCTGACCGATGTCTTTGGTGTCCGGCGTGTCATAGCCCAGGACTGGCAGAGGGGATCACTGCAGTTTATTCGTCCTTTGAGTTATACACAAAATAATATCCAGTTGAACTGCTTGCTAAATGTCATTAAATATATATATATTTTTCTTTTAATTTTTTTTTTGTTAGGATGTGTATTTTTTAAAATGTTCATGAAAAAGAAATGCAAGGAAAATTTGTTAAAAAATTGATGAAAATCATGACAATATAATATTACAAATAATATCGGAGTAATGACAGATTTAATATAACTTCCAATATCAGAGTAATGTCAAAAGTAATATCACATACAACAGAATGATGACAGATGTAATAATACATGAATTATGAGATATGACAAATGTAATAAAAATGCAATATGAGCTATGACAGATGTAATAATACCTGCAATATGAGCAACGACGGATGTAACAATACATGGTATATGAGCTTTAACAGATGTAATAATACATGGAATATGAGCTATGACAGATGTAATAATAGAGTAAATGAGCTATGACAGATGTAACAATACATGCAATATGAGCTATGATAGATTTAATAATACATGCAATATGAGATATGACAGATGTAATAAGACATGAACTATGAGCTAGGAAAAATGTAATAAAACATGCAATATGAACTATGACAGATGTTATAATACATGCAATATGAGCTATGAAAATGTAATAATACATGCAATATGAGCTATAAATGATGTAATAATACATGCAATATGAGCTATGACGGATGAAATAACCGATTGCATATGATAACAAATGTTTTATCCCACCGGACGAAGGGCCTCTGCCCAGGGAATGTATACAAATATTTGTAAACACTCCACTGATCATCTCCCCTTCTGACCCTGGCCAACTGGTGACCTTCAAATTTTTCAAAGTCCCCGGCAACTGTTCCTGTAAAGTACCCAGGGATGGTTGAAGATTCCAGAAATAATTCAAGGACATCAACTTTGACTTGAAACTTACAACATTAATTATGATGATACAAATTTTCATGTAATTTTATTCAATTCTCTCTGTGGATTTCTTCTGTGAAGGAATTAGACTGACTATGTAGGAAGTATGGAAGTTTACATGTTTAGAGCATTTGGCATTTGTCTCCTTTCAGTTTTAGTATAATACACATAATGATATGAGCCTAATCCTTATGTCCAAAATGCATCAGCTGTCACATAATCTGTGACTTATATTTAACTCAGCTGTCACATAATCTGTGACTTATATTTAACTCAACTGTCACATAATCTGTGACTTATATTTAACTCAGCTGTCACATAATCTGTGACTTATATTTAACTCTGCTGTCACATAATCTGTGACTTATAATTAATTCAGCTGTCACATAATCTGTGACTTATATGTAATTCAGCTATCACATAATCTGTGACTTATATTTAACTCAGCTGTCACATATTCTGTGACTTATATTTAACTCAGCTGTCACCATCTTCTGCTGATTATAAACTCAGCTGCCGCAATCATCTGTAACCGGCTAAAACAAAGGTTTCACGATCACTGTTACTAACTATAGTCGAGGGCTCCAGGGGCCTGTGGAGGGGGGAGGGGGTCACTGAACCATTCCACAGAAAATTTAAGTTAAATTTCAAATGCGGTGATGCATTTGTCGCACACCTAAATTTAGTTTTGCCCCACTCTGCTTTTAGTCGAATAGTAACAGAATTTAGGTGTCCCTTGTACTTGCGTTTCAAGTTTCAAGCAATATTAGAGTTTGAGTTGTTTCTAATCAAAAGTGTCGTTAATCAATTAATTATTTTTTTTTTAAATTGAAACTATTTCATTGGTTAAATTCCTTTACCAGTAAACAATGCTGCTGGGTACCCGGCGACTTGTAAATAGTTCTTGAATGTGCGGAGAGAATATAGATTTGTTTTGTTTTGTTTAATTAATGTATCTTATTTTTTAAGTTCATGATTCTGTTTCTTAAATTGTATGTACAGTGTGGTGAGCCCAGTCCTAGGCTGCAGTACCGCGCTATATAAAACCACTACTATTAATAATATGTGTATATATATATATTAGATACATACAAATATAATTCCGAAAAAAGAGCAAGTATACTCATTACGTTCCAAAATATTTAAGGTATACAAATAGATTAGGGGGGAGGGGGAGAAAACTTTTATAAATTGTTTATAAATGGCAAAAATTATACCACTAACAATATATTTTTAAAGCCTGGTAATATAATACCTTGAAAACTCTGCATGTCCTGTTTAAAAAGCTGATCTTAGGCTGTAAAGAAAAAGAAGTGTAAAATATTGGCATTGAAAGCGGTGCAAAGTTAGTTTAATTCGGAATTTTCCAGAGTAGAGGCCACACTTATTAACACAATGTAAGTCTTCAAACTAATTATTCAAACAAAAATTGTTTCAAAACTCCGGTGTAAAACAATTATTTGTTGATGAAGGTCGTTGTGATGAAGGTCGTTGTGATGAAGGTCGTTGTGATGAAGGTCGTTGTGATGAAGGTCGTTGTGATGAAGGTCGTTGTGATGAAGGTCGTTGTGATGAAGGTCGTTGTGATGAAAGTCGTTGTGATGAAGGTCGTTGTGATGAAGGTCGTTGTGATGAAGGTCGTTGTGATGAAGGTCGTTGTGATGAAGGTCGTTTAGTGTATTTTAGGGACCCGAGGAAATCCAAAGTTTTGGCCCCCAGAAATTTCAAAATAATTGTATGAAAAGTATCAATATCCACATTGAAGGGCGCCTAAGCTGGCAGGCAGGATCCCTAAGTTGGCAGACAGGGTCCCTAAGTTGGCAGGCAGGGTCCCTTAGCTGGCAGACAGGCCCCTAAGTTGGCAGACAGGGTCACTAAGTTGGCAGGCAGGGTCCCTAAGTTGGCAGGCAGGGCCCCTAGTTGGCTACGGGGTCCCAAAGTTGGCAGGTGGGGTCCTTTAGCTGGCAGGCAGGGGTCCCTTAGCTGGCAGGCAGGGGTCCCTTAGCTGGCAGGCAGGGGTCCCTTGGCTGGCTTTTGGACGCCACCCCAACAGCCCCCCACACCACTAACCCCGAAATAAACACTGGTAGCACACCAAAGAATAACTTGAGGACCACGGATAACAGTAAACATCCGGATGCTGTAGTGAAGTTTAAAATAGGGAGTGGCTTATTTGTGGAATAATAATTCGATTTTTAGAAACGAATACTTTACAGGTATATAGAGTTGCCTTCAATGTATCGGATCATCAAATATATCGAGTGCTGTGATATTTGATTTGCTCCATTATTTCACTAATTTTATTAAAAGATTTATAAATATTAAATTCAGTAGTTCGTTCTTTTAATAGATTATGTATTCGCGTTATTATTATGTACATTTTTCTAAGGGGAGGATTGGGGGGGGGGGGGCAATTGATACCGGGAAAAAAAGTCTTAAAGAAATTCTGGTAATATGACATCTTTCTATTCTTGATAAAGCCATAACTGCGGAATGTTTGTGTTTTTGATTTAATTTTTACAAATTATAATTTTTAAAAATGTGTCAGTACAAAATGTACTTATCATTTTAAACAAAGCTGTGAAGATATAAATGATATCTCAATGATACAAGAGTTAAATGATATCACAATGATACAAGAGTGAAATGATGTCATAATGATACAAGAGTTAAATGATATCACAATGATACAAGAGTTAAATGATATCACAATGATACAAGAGTGAAATGATATCATAATGATACAAGAGTTAAATGATATCACAATGATACAAGAGTTAAATGATATCATAATGATACAAGAGTGAAATGATATCACAATGATACAAGAGTTAAATAATATCACAATGATTCAAGAGATAAGTAATATCACAATTATACAAGAGTTAAATAATACCTCAATGATAGAAGAGTTAAATAATATCACAATGATACAAGAGTTAAATAATATCACAATTATAACAATAGTTAAATAATATCTGAATGATACAAAAGTTAAATAATATCTCAATGATACAAGTGTTAAATAATATCTCAATGATACAATTTCTTCTGCTATTTGCTAGTGACATGTGTACCGTCTGACCCTCAAAACTATATTAGACATTGCCATCATCATCATCAAAACATATTGCAAAACCTGCCAATCGCTCCTAGATACATCTAAATCTTCCCAATCATGAAGATCCGGAACTACCATGATCCAAGCTCAGGGGTTCTTAACCAGGACTAGCCAGGGGTGTAGGAAGACCCAGAAAATTAGGTTTCCAATTTTAACCTTCCTTCCTTTCTCTTTGTAATAAATTAGCCACCATTCCCCCCCCTCCCCCCCCCCCCCCTTTGCGTGTTTAACATTGTTTTTTTTTTGTGGGGGAATATTTTGTTTTTTTTTAAAAAAACGATTATTCTTTGATGGGCAGAGAGTGAGATTGTTATCTCACTGACTTAACCCAGCGTCTACTTCCATTGATGGTATCTACATCCTGGTCATTTGAATAGCTTAAGCCCTTTTGGAGCTATTTATAGCAACGTGGTCATGTAGCAAGCTCAAAAAAGCAGCCAACCTCGACGGCAAGACTTTTTCAGTGTCGTTCAGGTGTTCATTGAAGTGTTGATCCCAAGGGTTGATCCCAAGTGTTGATTCGGAATTGTTGTTTAGTATTAAGTGATCAAAAAAAACTCTGCAACTGTAAAAGGTAATATCTCAAGTCACAATCATATTTTGAAAGCTAGTCATACTTGTTTAAATGAATTAATTGATTTATATTTCTTAAATTAGTCATGCATGTTTAAACAGATAATCAATATATATGTTTCAATATTTCTAAAATACCATACAAGATTAAATACGTTAAAAAAGTGTGGGGGGGGGGGGTGGCTGCTAATTAATTACAAAGAGACGTGAAGGAACGTTAAAATTGGAAACCTAATTTTCTGGGTCTTCCCGACCCCCTCCCCCTCCCCCCCCCCCCTCCTGGCTTGTAAAAAAAAAGTGGGGGGGGGGGGGGGTGGCTGCTAATTAATTACAAAGAGACGTGAAGGAACGTTAAAATTGGAAACCTAATTTTCTGGGTCTTCCCGACCCCCTCCCCCTCCCCCTCCCCCCTCCTGGCTTGTAAAAATAATTCGGGATGAAGTTTCTTTGTTTATCAAACTCCTTATATATGTTCGAGTCCAGTGCGTGGCCCAATGCATTCTGGTGACATCGATATCTTGTATTTTTGGTTGTTGTGTTGTGTTGTTGCTCTTACAACTGAATCAACTTCCTGCCGCAGCAAAACCCAAAGTAAACACTGACCACTTTTCTCTTTGTCCAATTATTTTTTGTAATTTTTTAATTTAATTTTTTCTAAAATCTTGATTAGAGGAAAATCTTGACATTTCTTTATTTCCAGGCTACAATTGGTCATGTCAGCTGAAACAGTCAAAGCCACGGTTGTCTACCTGCTAGCCGCGTGTTTTTCTGTCTGTGCCGCCGGAAACAGCGGCAATAGTTATGTACTCCCTAACAATTACTTCTACGCACCCAATCAGGGCAACGCCATACAAGATCCATATTTGAGAACCCTTGACAACTTCCTGTCTATGATTTCATTTGAAAGCCAGGACCAATGCATAGAGATCATGTGCGCCCCTCTACCAAGCAAAGATAGTTATAGAACACCCGTTGTTTTCCGTAAAGTCGAGAACTCTAATGACGTCCCCAGATATTTTCCAGGTCAGTCTCAACAAAACTTGTATCCGTTTGGACAATTCGACGAGCTGCAACGTGCCCTGGGGGAGAACTCAAAATTTGTACGAGATGAGAGGGGGAACATACTAGGCGTTGCCGCAAGTAATCCATATTACCAGGCCAAAGATCAAGGACAAAGTGGTTATTACAGTAATAATGACTCACAACCGAGACCAGTACAGCCAGTCTTTCCAGCCAATTCAGACGTCTGCTGTACCACGTGAGATTTACTGATTGCTTTTTTTTTTCTTTCTAGCTTGTGTCGTCTTGTGGTCATTGAGTGTCCTTTAAAATATGTTGACCCCACGTCCTAATAAGTGTTGTTTGACTGTGCTATCATGTTTCTGTGGTCCCCATGTTTTAGTAAAAGTTTCTCTAGGATTAGTGTATTCTTGGGGACCGGGGTCTTAAATTAAATCTAGCTTTTGTGCAGTATCACATTTACAAGGAATTATTGGAAACAAGGTGCGGGGAAACCCGAAAAGCTGGCCGCAAGAAAACAAGAAACAGAGACTAACATAGAAATACAAATGAAAAGTTGGCTGAAATGTTGAGTCCGAGAGGACAGCACAAAGAATAAAGTGTCACAGTTTAGCTTTCAAAGTTTGCAATATAATCTACTAGCCAATAGGACCAACAAGCCAATAGAAACTTCTAGCCAATATAACCTACTAGTCAATATAACCTACTAGCCTGTTGCACACTGTCATCTATTGTGAGAAACTAATCTCTTATTTTAATTGTATGGCTCGTTCGAAACAGTGCCTAACAAAGGACGAGGCCATAGAGAAATACAATAGCAAAAATGCGACACTCAAAACAGTACTAATTAATTACAATTAATGAGATTTATTTAAGTATTAATATAATTACAAAACAAAAGAAATATAATTGCAATCATCAACTTACAGAGTGGTATGTCTTGTACCGGTACACAGTTAGTACAATGTGCCAATTAAAAGTGTACAATGATGAATGCGAATAAACACAGATAATAATACACTTTGATTCTTGGAGACCATCTTATTCAAAAATGTCAAACGTTTGTGATCAGTAAAAACAAGTACTGAATGTAGAGAACAAATGGCATAAAAATCAAATTGTTGGAGAGCAAGAATTAAACCTAAACATTCTTTCTCTACTGTAGAAAAGTTTTTCTGATGTGAGTTAAATTTCTTTGAGAAATAAGAGACAGGATGATTTACACCGTGGTCATCTTCTTGAAAAAGAACTGCACCAATGGCAACGTCACTGGCATCTATAGCTAATTTAAATTGTTTGTTAAAGTCTGGTGCAATTAGGACAGGAGCATTAGCTAGTATATTTTTAATGTTTTCGAATGCTTCCTGACAAGCATCTGACCAATGAAATTTTGCATTTTTCTTTAACATATTATTTAAGGGAGAAGCAATAACTGAGAAATTTTTGCAAAATTTTCTATAGTAAACTGAAATTCTAAAAAATCTCATTAACTGTTTTCTAGTAGTGGGTGGTGGAAGTGATACAATAGCATTTATCTTAACTTGAACAGGCTTTACATGACCTTGACCCACTATGTGACCTAAATATTCCAAAGTTGCATGACAAAATTCACACTTATTTAAGTTTACAGTTACATTTGCCTGCAAAAAACTGTTAAACAGAGATCTCAACTTATTTACATGATTTGAAAAATCTTGACTGTTAATAATTACATCATCAATATAGGCGCTGCAATTTTCCTGGTCAGCAATAATGTTATTTTCTAGACGTTGGAATGTAGCTGGGGCATTTTTCATTCCAAACGGCATTACTTTATATTGGTATAAACCATCTAGAGTGCAGAAAGCAGGGATTTCTTTTGCTCTGTCAGATAGAGTAACCTGCCAATACCCTGATAGTAGGTCTATCTTGGTTAAATATTTGACATCGCCTTTTCGATCTATAAGATCGTCTATCCTTGGAATTGGAAAGGAATCAGACTTTGTAAACATAAGTCATTTATCTGTTAAACAATCTCAGCCAGTCCTTACCCGTTTTTTACTCTACTCAGCTGACCCCGACGCACTTGGTGGTATTGTTAAACACGCAAAGCCTTAGCTTCATACGTAGAAGGTGAAGAATAAAATGGATTTATGCATTAACTTCTTCAGAGCAACCTTTCCGTTGAAGTTTCCGGTTTTCCGAATAAAGTTATCCGAACCACCCTTGGTAAATTTATATATATATATAATATACATATATATTAGTTTGGATAATCGGCCTTCTTATATATTTTCTATTACATTTTTCCTTTAAATTTTCTATTCACTATCATATCTAGTCGGACACTAGTTGCTGGATAACCGAGTAGACTAAACAGAGTCAATATAAACAAAAGTACCAGCATTCCGGGTCGATGGGACCCGTTAACCTTGGAAGGCAACTCATCTAAGAGAAGGCGAACTCTAACACTAAGCCCGGAGAAGGAGTCGCGTAGGCATTAAGACAATAAAATTGACACAATGAAAACTCCGACAACCCCTGCTGTGTCATCGAAACATGATGTCTCCGTGTTTCATTGACATATGATGTCTCTTTGTGTCGTCGACACATGATGTCTCCTTGTGTCATCGACACAGGACGTCTCCTTGTGTCATCGACACGTGATGTCTCCTTGTGTCATCCACACATGATGTCTCCTTGTGTCATCGACACATGTCTCCTTGTGTCATCGACACATGATCTCTCCTTGTGTCATCGACACATGATTTCTCCTTGTATCATCGACACATGATGCCTCCTTGTGTTATCCAGGTGCGTGGAGAGATGTCATTTGTTATCTAGGGTAATGGTCCCCAAATGGCGGTCCGTGGACCTTCACCGGTCCGCATGCCTAACGGTGCCGTTCCCCATAACATAAATATTTCTTGTCAAATAGAAATAAAAGTATACAAATAAATCACGAACCGGTCCATGGTAAAATTTCGAAACTTGTTCACCGTTCCGCCAAACTTAAACGTTTGGGAACCACTGATCTAGGGAACCAGCGTATCCTTCTTCTATATCTTAAGGGCCCACGATCAATGTATTGATCATTCTGGCTCCTATGCGTGTAAAGGAGTTTAGCAATGTTTCTGTGCCTGGTGTTGATGAGGATATTTCCCTGGTTGCAAGGGCTACTTAGTGAGGGTATCATGCACTGGGGGTCGGAAGGCTTGGGGCAATAGACACAAATGTGTCTAGTGTTGTCGCCTCAACTGGTCCTTTTGAAAGCTCGTTCCAGTCCTTGATTGGCAGGAATGAGCCTAAAGAAAAATTCCAAGCCTTATGATTTCATCCTCTAAGTCTAATTCCTCGACATATTGTGACAGACGGATGCCAAAATTATAATCTAGTGTATATGTACAAGAATATATGCTCTGGTATATATGGTCTAGTGCGTATTAACTAAAATATATGTTCATTGAATATGTCCTAGTGTATATGTACTAGTGTATGTGTTCTATTGTATATTATTATGTTGTATTTGTATGTGTGCTGGTGTCAATCTATCTGTTGTATGGTATAATAGTATGTTCCAGATATGTCTAAGTGTATGGCATCGTGTATATTATGTCATAAGGTATATGTCCTAGTGTATATGTCCTAGTGTATATGTCCTAGTGTATATTTCCTAGTGTATATGTCATAGTGCATATGTCATAGTGCTTATGTCATAGTGCATATGTTATACTATATGTATATTGCGTGTATAATATTATGTTCTAGCGTTTATGTCCCAGCGTATATGTCATAGAGTACATGTTCTAGTCTATAATAAATCATGAAAATGGTGCAGCTGGGAATAAATAAACACATCAGCCGACAACCCACGATCAAAAGTGTTTGGTAAACGTCATCAATATTAATTGTTTGAGCGTGTGTGTGTGTGTGTGTGAGTGTGTATCTGCGTGTGAGTGTCTGCGTGTGTGTATCTGCTTGTGTATCTCCGTGTGTACGTTCCTCTGTGTGTGTTTAGTTGTGTTTACGATATTGAGCCTTGAAAAGAGAACTATGGTTTTGCTATTCTTTGTTATATCGTATCTTGTTTCGTATGGTCTCTCCGCTCACACTTTTTGTTAGATATTTCAATTTGACTACTGAAGATTGTAATTTCATTTAATTATTTAGTTCTACAATGCTAAACATGAACTGTCTGTATTCATATAAGTATTTACCACTCTTGCGTCCATAAAGTTATTAATTTTTCTGACATTAACATTTTATGCATTTGACGATGCAAAATAAAAATGTTGTCATAAGTCCATGCTATATATCGCAATGTGTTGTTTCAAAACTCTCAACAGAGAAGAAGCCTATTTCATCAACTCGACGCTGACCGATATCTTTGGTGTCCGGCGTGTCATAGCCCAGGACTGGCAGAGGGGATCACTGCAGTTTATTCGTCACGGATTTTGTGGGTCAGTCACCAAGTCCTTTGAGCTATACACAAAATACCCTTAAAATTCTTTTACATGAAAACAGTTGAACTGTTGTATTTTTAAATCCATTTTATTACCTTCGCCTTGAGTCGTGGCTGGCAGATTGGCGGACAATCAAAATCTTCAGGGGGCTAATTGACCCTTTCCCCGTCAAACTATCGAGCTAAAATTTAGTACTTAGACTCGTTGCCGATGACAACACTTTCTATTAAAGTTTCTGCCCCAACCCCCAAAATATTTTTTTCCGGTTTTTCAAGGGGAAGATGAAAGGAGTATAATGAAACTGATTTCAGGAAATAAAATTCCCGAGGACTGGGCAACTTGAGGTTCTTTAAGACATCACCAGTGGGTTGTGTAATACTTCCTATTGGTTTAAAATGAAATCGTTGCTGAAATAAATCTACGGTGTGAAAGTGGGGGTGGGGGTCATTAGAATATAATTATTGTTCAGGGCGTAAAAAAATTGTGCTGTTGAGGGCCCGGGGGGGAGGGGGGGGCACTAATTTGGATTCTTTTAAAGTGCGTTACGTGTATGCATGTTTTGTGAAATTTTCAGCACGCCCCACCCCCCCACCCCCCCCCCCCCCCCCCCCCCCCCCCCCCCAGGGGCGGGGGGGGGGGGGGGGGGCACTAATTTGGATTCTTTTAAAGTGCGTTACGTGTATGCATGTTTTGTGAAATTTTCAGCACGCCCCACCCCCCATCCCCCACCCCCACCCCGCCCCCACCCCGCCCTTTACACACTGTTCGATATTACAATTTATAAAGGATTTATAGGCAACGCTTTGTTTTTTTAGGGCTGTTTTAATTATTTATTTATGTTTTGTGACGACTTTTAAACACAGTTTTATTTTATTTTTTTAATTCAAATGTAATATTAGAATTCACGGCTGATGTAATGATTCATGTAATATCATAAAGATAGATGTAATGATTCATGTAATATGAGTGTTATATAATAATAGGGTAATAACCCATTGCGTCACATCCGTATCACTCTCTTCAACGAATGTTTCATCCCACAGGACGAGAGGCGTGTGTCCAGGGGAATGTATACAAATATTTGTTAACACGCCACTGATCATCTCCCCTCCTGACCCTGGCCAGCTGGTGACCTTCAAATTTTTCAATCTCCCAGGCTACTGTTCCTGTAAAGTGCCCAGAAATGGTTGAAGATTCCAGAAATAATTCAAGGTCATCCACTTTGACTTGAAATGTATAACATTAATTAATGATCACACAAATGTTAATATAATTTTATTCACTTTTCTCTGTTGGTTTCGTCTGTAAAGACGTGTTTGACTGAATCTGTACCACTCATGGAAGTGACATAGTCCTTGCCGTTTTGCGTGATATCAGCTTTAGTTTACGACGTGGCTATTCGCACCCGGGTACCAGATGTGAGAGGTTGGGGTTAAAAAAACTACCACAAATGATATCCGAATAGCATTGGCCTAATTGGACCCGGGTGCGAATGGTGACGGTGCGTGTCCGGGGCCATTGTGACAGAATGCCATTCGGATGTCATTTGTGGTCGTTTATTTTAGTTAAACTGAAGAAGTAAGTTTACAAACATTTAGTCCATTCAATTATCTTTCATTTGATACCTCATTTTGTCTTACAAACCCAACAATAATATTTATAGTTGTTTTTTTTTAATCCCAACCTCTCACTTCCGGTACCCGGGTGCGAATAGTCGCAGCCTTACGATTATTACACGTAATGATCTGAGTCTACTCGTACTGAGCAAAATATAACAGCTGTCACATCATCTAGAACTAACTATGAACTCAGCTGTCACCAACATCTTTAACTGACTAAAATCTCAGCTGTCACCACAGTATACACTATTTGATTTGGATCGTTCATAGTAACTTGGGTTTAAAAAAATAAAAGTATCTAATCCAGAGATAACGTTAGATACTGTATGTCTAGGACATTAATCAATTTTAATAATAAGGAACATCAAAATTTGCAACATCTTAAAATTCTTTTGAGATGAAGGAATACTGGTTTCATTGCCTTCTATTACAATCAGCTCACCCACAAACACATATATTATTGCAATAATGTTTTGAACTTTCACTAGCTATTTTATAAAAAAGTTTTGGTACGAGCAATTGATTTGCTTTTGGCTATTTTCGTTCTTTAACATATTCTGGGTTTTTGGGTACGAGTGCCAAGATTTGATAATATCAAGTATCGTGGATTCCGGATATTTGAGATAAAAATCGATCACAAACAGCTCCTGCCCTAATGTCATGAAAGAGATGACTTGACAATCATGTTCCAGTTTAATGTGGCTGTTCCCAGCTCGGGAAACTGAAGTGAGTTCATCAGCTTGACAAATGACATTTGATTTATATCAAGTTAAAGACCTAGGGGGAAACAAGCTCTCAGATGCCTCAACCCCATTTTTGGTGATGGCTGGATACAGGCTGTAGTAGATAGAAGCTGCACCTTTGCTGCTGTAAAACCCATTAGACATGTCTTGTATAATCAGTTTTTCCTATTTGGTGACATTCATGATTGACCTACTTCTGATGAACATTATTATTGACCTAATTCTGATGACAATCATCGTTGACCTACTTCTGATGACAATGAACATTGACCTATGTATAATGTCACTCATCATTGACCTACATCTGATGTGTTTAACGAGGGTTAGACTAGTTAAACTTTTAACTTAAACTCAAAAACATTATTTTGATCGTATTCATGAACACGTCAGACAAATTCAGGACAAATTCAACAAACAAACTTAACAAACAAATTTAACAAAAAAATCTTAACAAAAAAACTTCACAAACAAACATAAAAAGTTAACAAACAAACTCAACAAACAGAATTAACAAACTTAACAAACAAAGTTAACAAAAATTAACAAATAATCTTAACAAACAAACTTAACAAACACATTTAACAAACAAAGTTAACAAACAAACTTAAAAGACTTAACAAACAAACTTAACAAACAAAGTTAATCAACAAACTTAACAAACAGACATAACAAACAAACTTAAAACTCAAAGTTAACAAACAAAGTTAACAAACAAACTTAACAAATAATCTTAACAAACAAACTTAACAAACAAAGTTAACAAAAAAACTTAACAAACAAACTTAACAAACAAAATAAACAAACAAACTTAACAAACAGACTTAACAAACAGACTTAACAAACAGACTTGACAAAGAAAGTTAACAAACAAAGTTAACAAACAAACTTAACAAACAGACTTAACAATTAAAGTTAACCAACAAAGTTAATAAATAAAGTTAACAAACAAAGTTAACAAACAAACTTAAAAAACAGACTTACAAAAAAAAATTAACAAAAAAGTTAACTAGCAAAGTTAACAAATAAAATAACAAACAAACTGAACAGCAGAAATATTGTGTCAAGTTTATTTTGTTCAACTGCAAATCTACTTTGGAGCTCTCGTCATAAGAAAGTTATCCGAATACAATATTCACATTAAGTTAGTCATAGGCTTATAGTCAATATTCATAGTTAAAAAGGAAAATAGTTGTCATTTGATCTTGCCATTGTTGAACAGTACATCAAATACAATTTCGCTGGTGTTGTCATTAATTAGATTCGTTGTGTGAAACTCATAATTCTGTTTTTTTTTTAATTGACATTGCAGAAATATTCTTGCGTTGTTCCCATTAGAATCAAACTATTTTTAATAAGCACCAAGTGTGCTTGATACAATCATGAGATTAGTTCTACATATAACAAAGCAACCGTTACAAATGCATGTCATTCATAACTCTACATTATATATATATAGATGTGTGTTTTTATTGTTTGTATTGCGATATATATCAGATTTTTAAAAATTGTGTGACACTCTTGTGAAGCTTATACAATTTGATCCCTGACCCGCCCCCCCCGCACTCCTCCACACTCCCCCCACACTCCCACCACACTACTCCCCCACACTCCCAACACACTCCCCCCAACCCCCCCCCACACTCCCCGCACCCCCCCCCCCACACTCCCAACACACTTTCTCCCCCTATCTCCACAGAAGTGTATACATGTATATATTGATGTCCTCTTATTAAGATGTCTAGACAGGACAGGCAGATGAATTTCAGGACCAGAGAAAATTCAGATTTTGTGCCACCGCAAATTTCATAAGAAATGTATCCAACGTTTCAATTTCCGTCCTTAGAGGTGAACCATGAGGGTTGGCGCCATGTGGGTAGGGAGTGGCCCCATGGGGGTAGGGAGTGGCACCATGCGGGTAGGGAGTGGCCCCATGAGGGTAGGAAGCGGCCCCATGCGGGTAGGGAGTGGGCCCTATGCGGGTAGGAAGTGGCCCCATGAGGGTAGGGAGTGTGCCCCATACGGGTAGCAAGTGGCCCCATGCGGGTAGGAAGGGCCCTTGTGGGTTGGCCCCCCGAAAGAATTGCTCGGGTGCCTTACCTCTGCACGCCCCTGGATTTAGATAGACAAATTTTAACATGGTCTTTTTTAAAAAAAGGTATGGTATCAAATTTAGTTCAGCTCTTGAGGATTGTGATAACATGAGATAAAAGGATACCTTTGAAAGAAAAAACAATTTAAATTTGCTAACGAATTGCTTTACATGTGATTATTAGCTTTTAGATTATATTCATTCATTTAAAAAAACTCATTTTGGTTTGTATTACATTTGATTTATATATTCAAACCAATACTCATCATATGTTGTAATGTCAAGCCCTTATGCCAGTCGCTCGTTTCAACATTACTCACATGCATTACATAATACATAAATACAACATAATCTCTTGGGTAGATATAGTCATTATGTACAGCGTAATTTCTGTAACAAAAATGTGTGGTTTTAATTACTCTATTGTTTCAATCACAATATCTTTCAATAGCAATTATGATTGTTAATTCATTAACAAAGCTTAGGCGTTCCATTTACCATAACATTTCTGCTTGACCATAACATTTCTAATGACCATGAAATTTCTAATTGACCATAACTTTTCTAATTGACCCTAACATTTCTAAGTGGCCCTTACATTTCTGATAGACCCTAACATTTCTGATGGACCATAACATTTCTGATTGACCATAACATTTCTGATTGACCATTAAATTTCTGGTTGACCATACCATTTCTAAGTGGCCCTTGCATTTCTGATTGACCCTAACATTTATTATTGACCATAACATTTCTAAAAGACCCTAACATTTCTGATTGACCCTAACATTTATTATTGACCATAACATTTCTGCTTGACCATAATATTTCTGATTGACCATAACATTTCTGATTGACCGTAACATTTCTGATTGACCATAACAATTCTGATTGGCAATAACATTTCTGATTGGCCCTAACATTTCTGATTGGCCATAACAATTATGATTGACCATAACATTTCTAAAACTCTTAAACGTCTCTTTTGGAAATCATATTTTTTGTATATTTAATATGAACTAACCAACAAATAAAACAATAAAATATTATGTGACATTTTTGTTTTGATTTGTTTGCCAATGTTGTTACAATTTAACGTTAAACAAGTCTTTTCTCTCATTTTATAACTGGTCATTTGGTCAGATCGGGTCATTTGGCTTGCTCGAGTCATTCGGGGCTTTTGGTAAACTCGGATCATTTGGTCTACTCTGGTCTTTTGGTCAGAACAGGTCATTTCGTCAGGTCAGGTCATTCCGTCAGATCAAATCATTCGATGAGGTCAGGTCATTCCGTCAGATCAGATCATTTGTTAAGCTTGGTTTATTTTGTCAGCTAGGGTCATGTGGCCAGCTCGGGTCTTTTGTTCAGAACAGGTCATTTGGTCCGGTCAGGTCATTCCGTCCGATCAGGTCATTTGGTCCAGTCAGGTCATTCCGTCATATCAGATTATTTGGTCAGCTCGGGTCATTCGGTCAGATCAGATCATTTCGTCAGAAAGGTCATTCCATCAGAACAGGTCATTTTGTCAGATCAGATCATTCCGCAAATAAGGGCATTCCGTCAGATCAGGTCATTCCATCAGATCAGTTCATTCCGTCAGATCAGGTCATTTGGTCAGCCCGGGTCTTTTTGTCAGCTCAGGGCATTGGTCAGCTCACGTCATTTGGCCAGC